CATAAGAATAAAAAAAATAAATATAAAAAAAATAAAAAAATAAAAATAATAAACACTTATTGATTCTTAAAATGGAATTTGCAAAAATATATCACAAGCCAATAAGTAAATAATAATTACCGAGTATGTCTGCTATAAAATATGACAAAATTTTCTGAATAAGAAATATGGTAACTTCTCAAATATCATCATAAAGATCATCATTAGTACTATTGTTAACCACAGAAAGGACTTACTGTAAACTGTTCTCAGCTTACCTATTCTACAAGTTATTTAGGACATGCAGGTTTATTTTAAGCATGTAAACCTGCTCTCCCTTGTTTATATAATACGTTCTTTTATTACTATTATGTTCAGTCAGCCAACATACAATACATTCCAATCCTGACAATCAATGAGTTTAAAATTACTGTCTACCAGCTCTTTCCTGAGCTGGGTATCTGGAATTGACTAAATCTTTCTGCTCCCAGCCATCAATGGGATCTTTCAACTCTGGGGTTGTGGGTAAAAGGTTCTGGGATTGTGGGTAGAAGGCCTCACAAGGAAGTAGAAACTGATACGCTCTTTCAGAATGGATAGGTTTTGGATAAGTATAGAGAGTTGTCTCTAAAATCTGTATGGGAGAATGGCCTATGTGCAGCTTGAGAGGCACAAAGGTTAAATAGGGTCTAAGATGACAGACTGAGTATTTGAACTTGACCCAATAAACAGTGATGAAGGCTATAAGTACTCAAGCTGGGTAGCGATACAATGAAAGTAAGATGTTCAAGAGGGCAGTTTCAATCCTGTGTGTAATGGAACAGGCAGAGAGAGATGGAATTCAGAAGAGGCACTGGGAATCTGTGGGAATAAGCCACCTGTGAGGTGGTGAAGGTCCAGCATGACCATGGTGAGAAGGGAAATGAAGTGCTTATTCTGGGAAACATTGTTAAGGAAAATGTTTAAAATACATGAAATATTGGCCAAAGGGCTTGAAGGGAAGAGGCAGGCAAGAGTTCTGCTGTTTCTGCCACTGAGATGAGAAGCATAACAGAAGTACAAACAGAATCTGATGGTTGAGGAGGAAAAGCAGATTTGATGAGGAGTGACAAGTTGAGGCGAGGTGATCATGGGACACCCAAGTGAGATGCCCTGCAACCAGCTGCAAGTCTAAAACTAAAGATCAGGCTAGAGATTTTGATAACTGAGTCATCCTTTTTTTTTTTTCCCTGAGACTCATGGAAGAGACTCTTGGAGCTCATTCTCTCCCAAGATGTCTCTCAAGAGTATTCCATGTGGCTTTACAGATTCATAGGATTCCCTCCCATTATCAGGAATTAAAAACAATGGGATCTACTCAAAGAATTATCTGAAGGGAAATTTATACTGTTAGTTCTTTATAAGTAACCTTGGAGGAGAGGAAGAGATAGGAGTGATAAAATGGTACAGCAGTGGCCTCAACACTGGAACATTCCACTAGCCTGGTATCATATTCATAATTTCTTCCCACTTCTCTACTCCACACAGCCATCTATGTCTCTTTAGCATGTACATTATATAAATACATCATTATCCATAGACTCAGCCTCTCAGCAACAGTCTGGAACAGCATATAGCACACAGGATATTTAAAACACGCACCAAAATGCCTACGATATACCTTCTACAAAAAAACAGGCCATTGAAAGTACTCCCAGCGCATTTCTCTCTGGCTGAGCTAAAGAGGAGCAGGCTAATGGATGAATGCCAAGGGTCATAAATTAATTCGGTTGGTACAACATATAAAAAAAAGCAAAGTTCATTTACTGAACTATAATCTTGATACCACAATAAAAGCCCAAAGAAACATTACTGACGCAATAATGACATCTGAACTTCAATAGTCAGTATCAAGATGGGGCGTTGTAGGAGAAGGAACAGACCGAGGCTGCATTAGTCTTCTAGCTGGGCTTCCGAGCAATGGGGTTCCTAGCACACTTTGACAGGGGCAAGGGAATGGGTGTGGATCAACTTTCTGCAAATCTACATCCTGCCAAACATCCTGCTTGGGTGCGGGATATCTAGACCACAGCTGCCCTTTCCTATCAACAAAGCAGCACATTAATGGTCCTCTCTCATCAAGCTCTAATTTACCTTACCTCCTCAGGCATTATCTTCTCTCTGACACCCACCCTGTATCTTGGCCATATGGGACCATTCGATACGTCATGTGTGTGCCCCGCAATTTCCTCACCCGTCACTTCGTTCACAGACCTCTTCTATTTTGAATTCACTACTCAGCTGGACTTCAGCTGATGGTCAAGAAATACCACTGTAAATACCCAGATGTCTGCACTATCTTTAATCTGGTATTTTTATCTTCTCCCTTCCAAAACATGGCTCTTAAAACTTTGTCCTTATTTTAAATAATGTTTTATGCATGTGTATTACTTTTCATTGTAGATCCTAGATAGCCTTTGGAAATCACGAAAGGAGAAAGGGAGACAGAGAAAAGGCAAGAAACAGAGGCAGTAACAGAGTCAGAGAGAACTAGTAACCAAGTAGTGTTGCCAGATAAAAGACAAATCCATTTTTAGTAGAAGTAAGTCCCAAATCTTGCATGGGACATTCTTATGCTAAAAACGTATTCATGATTTATCTGAAATTCATATTTAATTTAATCTGTCAACCCAAAGGAATTTTCTCACTCTTCCTCTCCCAAAGCTGCATTGACACACAAACATGGATCCAGGATTCATTTGCCTGAGCCACAAAGAGCTGCAATGCAAACAGTTCTCCAGGAGTTATAAACAGAAAACAAACAAAACAACAGAAATTGACAACAACAACAAAAACTATCCAACAGCATAAACTCTTAAATGGAAACAGGATCCGTAATTCAAACCTTTGTTGGTGGCTGGTCAGGGATGCAGTTTATCCGTTCCACTTCACTTACTACTGGGCACATAGCAGGATCAGGGGTGGTACTTGCTGTCCCAGGATCGGGGGTAACTGTTGCCCCAGGATCTGGGATAATCCCAAAACAAACATAAAATGACCATCAGACAGATCTAATATCACAAGCATTTAACATGATTGTCATAGTTCTCAACACCTCCAAGTATATGAAGTCAATTACTGATTGGGATTCACTTTAGAAAGCCTCATTAGTTCTTGCTGACTGTACTTACCTCTGTGTATACTGAATCATCTCCTTCCACCACCAGCAAGGAGTTTGGCTCCACCATTAGATCAAAAGGTCACCACCAAGGTAAGAACCAAATCTACTTTCTCTAGTCCAGAGGTCAGCAAACTATAGCTCGTGGACCAACTCAGGTCACAGCCTGATTTTTAAATCAAGTATTGCTGGAACACAGCCACACCCACTTTTTAATGTATTATCCATAGCTGTTTTTGTGCTACAATGGCAAAATTAATTAGTTATGACAGAGACCATATGGCCTGCCAAATCTGAAGTATCAAGTACCTGGTCCTTTACAGAAAAGTTTGCAGACTACTCTGATCCTTTACTTCCACCCCCAGCAGCTGGTTCACAATATGTTTGTGCACAGAACATGGGTGGTGTATGTTTTCTCAGTTGCAGTTGTTCCATCAACAGGCTTTCCCTCAACAAGGAACACTTCTGAGTGATGACATTCTTATGTAAATATAAAGTCTCATATGACAAAAATGTAAAGGAAGGCCACCAATCTAAAAATTGGCAGTTAGGACCTGCCCAAAGGCCTTGATTCAGATTTTAAAATCAGTCACATGAAAGACACATTTATTGCATTCTAAAATAAGGAAGTGAAATTTCTTTAAGTCACTCTGCAGTAAGTTAATAAGGACATTAAGACAGAACAATGAGGCTTTTAATTCGTTTCATTTCTGTTCCAATTCAAAAGTGGTGGATTGAGAGAGCTCCATATTTGTGCCACTTTCTGCATAAGGGTTTTAGTTCCATCTTCAAAGTCATGGAATTTTAAGAGTTAAACAATCTTTGAGATTACTTGATCTAACTCCCCGCAAAAGTAAAAATTGTCAGGGCTGGGACAGAGGGAATGGGAGCAGAGAAGTCTTCTAGCCACAGACTGACCCTTCATCGCTTGGTTCATAGAAACTGTTCCTAGATGAATCACGTAAGAAATCAGAGATAACTCAACACAATCCAGCCCCTCTTTCAGAATAAGACAGTTCAATAAACGTTTAATTAAATAACTCTGGTAGTTGTTACTTTTTTTTTTTTAAGATTTTTTATTTTTTATTTGACAGAGAGAGAGAGAGCACAAGCAGGGGGAGCAGCAGGCAGAGGGAGAGGGAGAAGCAGGCTCCGTGCTCAGCAGGAAGCCCGATGTGGGGCTCGATCTCAGGACCCTGGGACCATGACGTGAGCCGAAGGCAAACGCCCAACCGTCTGAGCTACCCAGGTGCCCCTAGTTGTTACTTTTTAAAGAATCAGAACTTTGGCCTAAAATACTTTGATTATATACTTATTCGATTGCCTTGCATATAAGGGGTAATTGGTTAATAAAGGTTAATAATATTGTTAATGAAATGAGAATTATTGAATGCAATTCAGCAAATTTATTTCAAGGGTCAGTTGTGGAATCCTGCACTGTGCTAACTGGGAAATAAAAGTATCAGCTTAGGCCTATAGTGACTACCTAGTGAGCTGTCACAGCTCCAGTCAGGGGTTCACAGACACACATGTAATTCTCCCCTCCCCCATACACACACGCACTCACAACAATGGACAAGAGAACATCACGTCCCTGCCACTCATGAGGTTTCTGCTCTGGGAAGAGCAACACATGGAGGGTGAACATCAGAGTTCCTTGTTACCTTGTGATTCCAAAGAATCTTTAGCTGAAAGCACAAACAGAGGAATAGTGATGATAAACACCATAAACAGAAGAACACTGAGCATAAGCTCCAAAGTCGTGAAATCTTTCAACTTCTTTCTTGCCATCTGCAAATAAAGGAAAACAATTTTAGATTTGAGTTTTACTTAATTTATAGCTAGTAATTTTTGAATGGACAAGCTCAAATGTCACATAAGTAAAATGAATAACTAACAATCCTTCATGTACATACCCATCAGCTGGATTAAAAAATTATCAACTCATGACCAATCTCATGTTTTCTTTATTCTACTTACTTCTCTCCCTAACCTTGGATTATTTTGAAGCAAATCTCAGATACCTTTTCATCTGAAAATATCGAAGTATCGGTGCACCTGACTGGCTCAGTCGGTACAGCAGGTGACTCTTGATCTCAGGATTGTGAGTTTGAGTCCCACGATGTAGATGTAGAGAGATTACTTTATTCTTTTTATTTAAATTCAATTATTCAACATATAGTACTTCATTAGTTTCAGATGCAGTGTTCAATAATTTACCAGTTGCATATAACACCCAGTGTTCATCACATCACGTGCCCTCATTAATGCTCATCACCCAGTTACCCCATCCTCCCACCCATCTCCCCTCCAGCAACCCTCAGTTTGTTTCCTAGAGTTAAGAGTCTTTCATGGTTTTTCTCTCCTCTGATGACTCCCCATTCAGTTTTCCCTCCTTTTCCCTATGATCCTTTGTGCTGTTTCCTATATTCCCCATATGAGTGAAACCACATGATAATTGTCTTTCTCTGATTGATTTATTTTACTCAGCATAATACCCTCCAGTTCCATCATGTCAACGTAAATGGTAGGTATTCATCCTTTCCGATGGCTGAGTAATATTCCATAGTATATATATACCACATGTTATACTTTAAAATTTTTTTTAATATTTCAGTATTAAAAAAGTAAACTTCATGAAAGCCAAACAAAATATTGTTAGAATAGCAAAAATATTTTTAAATAATTCCTTAATCATCAAATATCTAGTCAATGTTGAAATTTCTCTTATTGTCTGATAAATATTTTATAATTTGTTCTACTTTTATCAGGATGCAAGCAAGATTTATATATTATAATTGGTTTGTGTCTGTTAAGCTTTTGTTGTTGTTGTTGTTTAGAGAGAGAGAGCCCAGAGTGGGAGGAGGGGCAGAGAGAGAATAGAGAGAGAATCTTAAGCAGGCTCCATGCCCAGCACGGAGCCCAAGAGGGGGCTCAGTCTCACAACTCTGAGATCATGACCTGAGCCAAAATCAAGAGTTGGATGTTTAACTGACTGAGCCACTTACCCCTGGCTCAGGCACCCCTGTTAAGCTTTTTTTAATCAATAGATTTGTTCTGTAGATTTCCCCATAATCTGGATTTTGTCAATTGCATCTGTGGATATACTTACATGTTTCTCTACCCTTATGTTTCCTGTAAATTTAATGATCAGATCTAGAGTTTTGACAGATGCAGGTTTGATGTGTATAGTTGGTATACAGTCTTCCAGCAGAAGACACTTAAAATATGGCAGGCATTCTCCTTTTTTCATATTAATAGCCATTGGTGAGCATTTCTTAGGTCCATTATTCCATTAGTTGTGACAGTGATACTGTAATTCTACCATTCTTTATATGCTGGATGAAATATTACTATAGAGAGAAATTTCCCCTCATCTATTATTTGGATCATAAAGGTACAGTTCATATAGGAGAGGTAGGATAAATGTTTGACTCTATTTTCTGGGTTTCAAAATAAGGAGTTGTTGCCCTAGCATCCTCCAAAGAGGTCCAGTGAGAATATCTGTACAATATCTTTGTGAAGTTATGGATTTAAACACATCTTATCTGTTCTGATCCATTGATATTATTATTATTATTAATGCTCATTTTGCCTTATCTGTACTTGCGGGAGTCTCTTCAAGTTGGTTCCTGGTAGTCTTTGATAGCTTCCTCGCTCTCTGTTATAACATGATAACCTAGGCTCATTTTGCACATTTCCTGCCTCCAGTCTCAAATCAAACATCTCTAAGGAGGCTTTGTTTTTTTCAGTGGGAAAAATATTTAGAAACCACAGTTTCGATGAGATCTGGTGAATTCTACAACTAAAGGTACCTGATGGATACCAACTGGCTACCTTTGGAGTCCCAGGGAGAATTGTCAATTTAAAAAAAAAATACAGAAATAACACATTTGCCTAAGTTAGAATTGTTATAAATCCTAGTTGAGGATTAAAATATTTTGCCAAGAAGTTTAAATCAGATGTTCAGCAGTCATCTGCTGTCTCAACCTAAGTGAATCCAAATCTCTGGGGTTAAGGCTTGGATATCTGAAATTTTTTTTTAATTTTATTTTATTATGTTATCTTAATCACCATACATTACATCATTAGTTTTTGATGTAGTGTTCCATGATTCATTGTTTGCGTATAACACCCAGTGCTTCATTCAATACGTGCCCTCTTTAATACCCATCACCAGGCTAACCCATCCCCCCACCCCACCCCCTCTAGAACCCTCAGTTTGTTTCTCAGAGTACATAGTTTCTCATGGTTCGTCTCCCCCCTCCAATTTCAACCCCTTCATTTAGCTTAATGATGCCACCATCATTTTCTTTGTGCTCTATGATGGGGAAAATGTTGGGAAGAACTCTACAATGCTTCAGTGGATGCCCCCTGGCAAGTGCTCTAAATGAGTATTTGCTGATTTGGAAGCAAGACTGACTGGAAACACCATCATGATATGCTCTGTGTCACAGATGCACTTCAGGGAACCTGGTCCTCTTTCCCAAGGAGTATGAGAGAGATGAAACAGGAAATAGTATGCCTTCATCCCAGCAATCTCACCAGTAATCACAGGAGTCCAAGTGAGAAAAAGAAAAAGAAAAAAATTTGATATAAAAAATAATATAAATTAGAACACAGTTATTTATTTTACAAAAGGATCCAAGTCAAGATTTCTTTTAATCAACCATTTTTGAAGTATGAAGGAGAGGTAATCAATATCTCTAGGGTTTGGTTTGGTTTTTTTCAGAATCCACTTTCTGGAAAACAGTGCTCTTCACAGCCCCTTTATTAAGCCCAACCATAGCTAAACACTGGTTCACATCCGTCGGCTGTTCTGCCTTCCCCTACTCCTAGCTCAAGGCCCAGTGGTCTCTCTGAGCAGAACTGCCCCCAACTCCACTACAGACCCCTGTGAGATAGTCTCTGCTCTGCTATACCCAGCACAATGGTCATGTCTGTTTTTCTTTTTCCATTTTGTTACAGACTCATTTCATTTGGTACATCTTTATAAGACTGTCAATGGAAGTTTAGAAAAGAAAACAGGTGAAGTCCTATGATCTGTCTCCCATCTTGAACCTTTCTGGATAGGTTTTAAAAGTTCCCCAGATGACTTTGATATTCAGTTCCCTCATTCCTATTTGAAAATCGTTTGGGGAATTTTGAGTTCATCAGTGGATTTAATAATATTGCATGACACTATCCTGTAGGGTGGGAATGGAAATGGCAGGTGTAAATTGAGGACAGTGAAAAATAGGACAAATACTAAGTAGGAGACAGTAACAACTAAAACCAAATAACATATTTGGAAGGAGTAGTAGTGGATGGGCGGCCCCTTGTGAAATTATCAAGCCCATCAAAGAACCCCTCCCAGCACCTCCAGTATGTCAACATACCCTCTGTACTCCCAGCTCATTTGTGGTCAAGTGGATAAGTTTTTTAAGGCTTTTTCCCAAAAGGCGTATCTACTTCCATAGGTTTGCAATACCCCTTTTCTCTCTCAAATTGTGAGCTCCCGAAGTATAAAAATTATGCCTGCTTCTTTTTATTTCCTTCCTAAGTATCTACTAGTAGAATCTGTATAATCAATAATTATTGATCAATAATATTTTACTCCCTGGTCGATTACTGTGCTAAACATTTCATTAGTAATTTCCTGCTGCATCTTATCCCCAAGCTCTCCTTCTCAGAACAGAGAGCTTGCTAAATAGGGCACAAAAAGACTTGCACTTGACTCCCTGCCCTACCATTTCTTGCTGTAGTAGCCAAAAGAATTTTCCTAATACTCATAAGTCTTGGTTTTCTTATCTGTAAAAATGAAACTAACAATATCTATTGTATTACCTATCATCACCTTCTTATTGTGAAATCAAATAAGAATATTTTTTTAAGATTTATTTATTTACTTGAGAGAGTGAGAGCTCACGTGCACGAGCAAGTGAGGGGAGGGGCAGAGGGAGAGAAGCAGGCTCCCCGCGGTGCAGGGAGCCCGACATGGGGCTCGATCCCAGGACCCTCTCCCACTCCCCCTGCTTGTGTTACCTCTCTCGCTGTGTCTCTCTCTGTCAAATAAATAAATAAAAAATCTTTAAAAATAAATAAATAAAATGGTTATATGAATAGTTGCCAAAGGGCATTTTCCTGGTACTGTTAGAACTGTTTAGGCAAAAAGGATAGATAAATCAGGTAGCAGCCCAAATTATTGAAATAGCTATCTGAATTAATTTAGAAAAACTGGATAATCAATCGTCATATTTTCTAAATATAATGTCTGTATTTGCATAGGATCATATGATCAGTGTCTGACTTGCATATGATGATCTAAGCCTTTCTTCTAAAAATCCTTTGATAACATAAGGCAAGAGATCTAGTGGAAAAGAGAGGGTTAGTTTTACAGAGACTGGGAATAACTCGCAAGAAGGAGTCCAGCAAGTCATGCTACTCCTCAGAAATCCTGGGCAAAACTTACTGGGTTGGTTCATTGTCTCCCACCTACTGTCTAACCCCTCCAGGCCTCAGTTTCCTCCCCTGAACCACAAAGGGATCATCTCTAGAAGACAGCTATGGACGACTGTGAGCCCAACACCAGGGTGAGCAAAGGCTTCCTCATCACCTCTGCAGCTAACTCCCGAAGTAACTTTAAATGGAAAATTTCTTCTTCTGTGTCCATCTACTCATGAGTATTCCATGCTTATGGAGCAGTTTGTAAAATAAATTTATTAGCTCATCGAAACTCATTTGCAAGGGAATGGTTAACAACAAAAAAATCCCTGACTTCATGTGTAAATGTGAGTGAAACAGTGATGAGCTATCATAAAACTGGAGTACAGGATAGAGTGTCCTTCCACTTCATTTGGTCTCTGATACACTTTGGCCCTTCCCAGCACAACAAACCAAAGACCCACCCCCACTCCCACCCCACGGCTCCCCCTTTTGCATCACCACCACTCCTAAACCCCTATTTCCTGAATTGTCTGAATTTTTTTTAACAAAACTAAGAAACAAAAACAAAACAAACAAAAACCCCAAAGACCCCCTTCCCTCTCACTCCCTCCCTGCCCAGCACATGGGTACTCACTGTTCTGCAACATGACATCCGAGCAATAGCCAGTTTGGAGAGTAGGAGGTCCCTTTACCACATGAAAGCTACTATTCAGACCCTTGGTAGTTGAATGAGACCATGGCATTGATCTTGGTCTCCTTCTCTTTCCCCAACAGAAACTCTTCCTTCCCACCTCAGTGCCAGAAAATGCCCACTTGTATCTAGATAGACTTTAGCAACTAGTGAGGACCCAACTTTCTTTAAGTTTTACCAGAGAGGGGCCAGCAACAAGCCACTGCCTTCCCCCTTCCCCTGGGCACTTCAGGTCTATTTCACACATGAGGGCCAGTCCAGGTCCTGCACCTTTCCCTGCACATCCTCCTCCTCAGACTCCACCTGATCTCTCTCCCATGCCCCACAGCCCCCGGCACCCAATGCGTGCACACACCTGAGACTCTTCCCTAGAAAATAATTCTTTATCTGATCACCCAACTCATAGGGCTAGTAATAGATTTCTCAATTTCCTGACCACAGTGGATTCTCTAATTACTACCCCGCAATCACAACCCCACATACTTTCAGAAGGAATGTGCCCACAGGTTCTATTCTAACCCCTCTGCCTCCCTTTTCCCACCTCACCTCTGAATCAGAAAGAATTGCTACCCTGAATATTAACTCTTTCATTATCCTCCCCATCGCACACACACAAAGGTTTAGCTACAGCTGGGCTTATAGACCCAGCCTTGGTATAGAGGTGTGAGCACACACACACCAAACAATAAATGAATTGAATCTTGTTTTATGTGCATATTTGTGTAATTATGTGTGCTGTTGTTTAGTTTTGTGTTTAACCAATTCCAAGGACATTCTACTAATGGAGATCGGCGCCAGTCCACACACACTTGCGCACACAAATCTACAGCCATAAATGAACACCCGGTTCACAAACATACCTAACCACCTCCTGCCGCTGTCCCCACTCTCACTGAAGGATGGACTAGGAAGCAAAGCAAGGAGCACAGTCCACAGAGGGCAGTCACAGCCTTGGCAAGCTGGTACCATGTTATCGTTAATGGGTTTCAAATGCAAATGACTGCCCGGATTTCATTCTCCAGATAAGATCTGCTAGTTAATTAGTAATCATGGTCTTCTTCTGAGAACATCCCTAAGAACCTGGAGAAAGAAGTGACCATCCTGACCCCCTCTGACCCCTCGGTGCTGAATATACCTTCAGCAGTGATCACACTCAGGTGCCTGGCAAAGGGACACAGACTGACTCAAGGTGTAGATGATAAAGAGCAAAAAATAAACCATCCCAGGGTCCCATTGACATTTACTAGCACAATCTGCTGGTTTGTGTTTGAAGGAAATAATTTTGAAAATATTTTCAGAGTAGTTTTCTTCTTTCCTTGTCTCTAGGAGAGCGGTCTCCAAGCATTTTTGTGTGGTGGAGACCCTTTGGCAGTCTGGTGCCTCTTATGGACCTCTCTTAGAATTACATTTTTAGGGGCGCCTGGGTGGCTCAGTCGTTAAGCGTCTGCCTTCGGCTCAGGTCTCGATCTCAGGGTCCTGGGATCCAGCCCCGCGTCAGGCTCCCTGCTCAGCGAGGAGCCTGCTTCTCCCTCTCCCTCTGCTGGACCCCCTGCTTGTGTGTCTGTCTGTCTCTCTCTGTCAAATAAATAAATAAAATCTAAAAAAAAAAATTACATTATTAAATGCATGAGACAAAATACTTAAGGATACAAAAGACCCTGAAACTAATAATACATTATATGTTAATTAACTGAATTTAAATTTAAAAAATTTTTAAAGATTTAAAAAGGATACAGAGGAAACTAATTCCAATGAATTAGTTACCAGAATATTTTTAATTGCAACATAGTAATGCATGTATTTCTTTAGTGATGTGTTAGCCAACAAATCTAGCAACAGGTCTAACGGCTCCTGCAATCTCGAAATAGTAATAAGTGGAAATTGTATCTTGAGATTATCTTCAAAATATGATACAAAAGTAACCGTGGCTTCTCTTGGAACCAAATTCTTAGGTACTTCTAACACTCCTGAGGTTTGTGATCTCGCTTTATACTTAAAAGACAGGCCACATTTCAGCTGGATTTTAGCAAAGAAAATATACATATATCTTGTCCCTTGCAAGTTCACTTGCTTTCTGTCTTCTGTGTCTACTTGGGAGCCATGGAGGCCGTGCAGATATCAGAAACAGCAACATGATGACAATACGTCCTCCTCCCCGCTCCCTAGATATCACCCTTACTTAGACTTTCATGACACCCTGTCCTTGCTTCCGACCCCTGAAAACACAACTCTGACCACTTCTTTAACACAAGTCAATTCAATACATAGGTGTATGTGTACTATAAGCAAGCATTGTCAGAAAAGCAATAACAGCAACATCTATGGCATGCTTCCTACGGCCTGTGCATTAGGCTAAATGACTCACATGCATGATTCCATTTCCTCCTCATCACCACACCGTGAGGTAGCAACCGTCACCCCCATTTCGCAGACTAGAAACCCTGGACACAAAAAGCAACTTGCCCGAGCAAGGTTCTGTAACTAGGAAGAGGTGAAACCAGAATGCAAACTCAGGCAGTGTGGTCAAACCTGCACTTGAACATGAATGTGAGCGGTGCTTCTATAACCTCATGTGCAAGAGAAGGTAGAAGTGCAGTGACTGCCATGCAGAAGACAAGATGGCACTGACTAATGCAAAGACCACAACTGGGAGGGACAAGAAAGAAACCAAAGGCATGGATAGATGGGAGTGGGCAGAGAAGAAGGAAAGACATTGTGAGCCAGGGGATCAGCATACGCAAGGCTCAGAGGTTAGAGAGAATACGATCTGTTTTAGAAACTGCAGTGAAAAGATAGAGACAAGGGAGATGGTTGTGGGAAAGTCAGGGACACTTTTGGCAAAGCACACTGGAGGCCCATCGTGGAGACTCTAGCCTGTTACCAACAGGGAACCATCACAGATAAGAAACTGCCCGGAGCGGTCATAAGTGTGAAATCAATTTCTGAGCTCTCTGCCCAGGACTCAGAATGCTGGAGTATCTGTCTCTTTAATTCTTTAATCAGAATATTTAGTCTCCCCACACCTCCACACAGAACAAGTGCCAATCAGTAGGGAACTCTGGAAGCTGTACAAGCTATCTGTCCATTGGAGTGATACAAAAGTGGAGCACTCTGCCACCCTGAGATCTCCATAGGCAGCCCCTAAAGATCAAGAGAGCGGTGCATCACCTCACCAGCACTGATGAGAACATCTGCTGACCTTCCCTAAACAACGCTTGATTCTGGCTTCTGTTCTAAACCCGGAAACAGCCACAGTCTGTTTTTCGGGAAAAAATCTCAAATTCTTCTTTCTCGTGAAGGCTGCTTTATCATTCTTGATTCTACCATTCCAATATTTTTTTCATTATTCACCAAAAAGCTTGGCTCACTGCCGTTTCTGCATATTCGGCGCAGCCTCCACCTGAAATGTCTATGTCCTCTGTCTTCCTATGTAAACCCCTCTCTTATTGCAAAGCCAAGTTTAAACTCACTTTGCCATGAAATTTCTCTAAACACTCAATTAATGTTGATGCTTCCCCTTTTCTGAACTACTAAAGTAACAGTACTTTCAAGAAGATATGGTTCTACTTTATAGATGTGCATAAAAGTTCTCCGAGGACTGCTAGCCACTCATCAAGTCCCTGCTGGCTGAGTTCCCTCAAACGCTCCAGCAGGGCCATACCCAGGTGAGGAGCCCTTTCTGACTGCTGAGCTGAGAGGGGATGGCTGAGCACCAGTGTGTGTCTCCATCCTCTTAGCACTGAACACATTATTGGATTTTCCCTTCCTGGAATAAAATTCTACAGAAAACAAGATACACATCTGCTTGTATTCTACTGGTGGTAGACTACGGGTGGATAAGATAACCCTGACAGTATCCTGTATAGCCTATTAATCTGAAACAGTTGAATACAATGTTGGAATCAAGATAAGGCATCTCTTGGAGATGTGTTTCCATGCGAAACCTTCAGGTGGTGGTTTATGATCCCCCATTTGGTGTCATAGAAAGAGCATGGTGTTTGGAATCAAACTAGCCTGGGCTTGAATATCAGAGTCTCTACTTACTTGCTACAGACTTGGGCAGTCATTTAAATTTTCTGAAGCTTAGTTGTCTTCTCTGTAAATTAGAGATGATAATATGCATGACATAATATTATTTGGAGCCCAAGCTGAGATAGTGAGTGCCTGACATCCAGGGTCAGTTTTCCAGGCTCTCCCTAACTGGTCTTTTCTGAAAATAAAGTCAAATAAAACCCAGCAAGCAGTGGCACTGGCTTAAATTCTGTTCAGAACTCTTCCTCTTATTCATCAACCACCTGGAAGAGCCTCACTAGAGGGTGGGGCTGAAGGCAGTGAACTCTTTCCTACATGGACCACTGACAGGCAGCAGAGAGCAGTTTGCCTGCCACACCGAACTGATTCCCCAGGCCAGTGGGGGAAAGCCAGCTCTAGCCCAGAACCTTGCTCTGCAGGATGACACCCTCCCCTGCACGCACACATGCACACAAGCACACTAAGGCACTCACACTCATAAGCTACATGCCATCTACACCCCTCCTGTCACAAATCACCTCTCACAGTCACCACAACCCACAAACTTTTAAGTTGTACCTCTTTCTTCTTATTGCAGCTGAGTTGTTTTCCTTCTTTTGTTCCAAGTGTAAGCTCTTCACAACAGAGGCTACCTGGAAAGGGGAGAGAGGAGTTGCTTGGGGTAGGAGTAATTTCTCTGCCCAGAAGCGTTCAGAGGAAAGGTTGGGGGTGGGAGGGGGAACACAATCTACCCGTACTAAGCATTACAGCATTTCCTTCCCTGGGGAAATATCTATTATTCAGCAATTTGATGCTGCCCTGCGTCCCTTCCTACCTCTTACCCCCACAGACAGCAACTCATGCACACACAGGTGTGGGTCCAGGGAGAGAGTTCTTGGGGATAATACATTACCTAGTATTCACGTGTCAGTCATAAAGCATCAATTGCATCACACCTTGTAGCTCTCAGAGCACTTTAACCTGTACTATTTCTTTAATCACTTATCATAGGACAGGTATTTTATCCCCAGGTAAAAATGAGGAAAAAGAAACTAAGAAAGATGACTTGCTAAAGATCACTTGAGTCTTTTAATTTCTTTTTTTTAATATTTATTTATTTATTTTATTATGTTATGTTAATCACCATACATTACATCATTAGTTTTTGATGTAGTGTCCCATGATTCATTGTTGGCATGTAACACCCAGTGCTCCATGCAGTACGTGCCCTCTTTAATGCCCATCACCAGGCTAACCCATCCTCCCACCCCCTCCCCTCTAGAACTCTCAGATTGTTTCTCAGAGTCCATAGTCTCTCATGGTTCATCTCCCCCTCTGATTCCCCGCCTTCATTTTTCCCTTCCTGCTATCTTTTTCTTTTTTTTCTTTAACTATAATGTATTATGTTTTCAGAGGTTCAGGTCTGTGATTCAACAGTCTTACGCAATTCACAGTGCTCACCATAGCACATACCCTCCCCAGTGTCCATCACCC